ATGGAGGGGACGGGGTCGTCGTCGGCGGAGGCCTGTTTTGCGGGGGGGGGGGGGGCGGGGGCAGGTGGCACAAAGTCTACTGCACCGGGGATCACGCTTGAGACATCAATTTGTCCCACACAGGAGCCCCGCTTGCCGCGCAGCACTGGCAAACGCACTCAGCAGGGGACCCAGAGCTCTAGCGGTCGCCAATCCCAGGGGCCGACCGCCACCCCTTGGGCCTTTCTTAATTAGCAGGCCGTGCCGGCCCCGGTTGCATGCAGGGCTGCCCCGCGCGCATGCGTGGCGGCCCCAGCTGCATGTGTGCGGCCGACCCCGCGCACATGGGCGGCGGCCCCAGCTGCATGCGCGGCCGCCCGCGCCCGCATGCGCGGCCGCCTACGCCCCCAGCCCACCAGGACTGCGGCGTCCAGGGCCGTTTGGTTGGCCGCCTCCAGCTCCTCAGCATCGTGCAGCAGCTCCACCGCGGCGCGGCTGTAGGGCAGCTCACACAGCGGCTCAACCACCTGCACACGCACCGGCGGCGGCGGCGGGCGCGGCTGGCTTGCTGGCGTGCGACGGGCAGCAGCGGCGCGGCTCGGCGGCGCACACTGCTGCTGGATAAGGGCCCATCTGTTGCCACTCCCCATCTTGTGGAGTGTGCACTGGAGCCTTGTAGGCTCAACGACGCCTGCATCCGCTGGCAAAAACTCGGAAAGCCCCGCCCCCGTCCACAACAAGCTGGGGGCGCCGCCGCGCACCCCGCCCCGAGGGCCGTGCTGGGCGCACCTTGAAGCGCGCCGTCGCTGTGGCCAGGATGAGCAGCTTCCCGTCCATCAGCCGCGCCGCGCGCGTGACCTCCATGAGCACGCCCACCAGCGGCGCCTGGCTGCCGCTCTCCAGCCGGTACTCCTCGGCCCCCAGGTTTGAGCTGCCGCCGGGCAGGTACAGGTGGCCAAACACCCAGGGCTGTGGGGACGAGAAGAGGCGGTCAAACATGTGGACGTAGTGGGGCTTGTGCACGTGAAGGATGCTCTGCGGGGGGCGGGCGGCGAGGGCGAGGGGGCACAAGGGTGAAGGCGGCGGGGCGGCGGTGAGGGGGTGCGTCCAAGAGGAGAAGTGAGGACACCTGGAGGCTGGAAGCGGGGTTGATGCATGCACGGGCCGGCAGGCTGGGCGGGAGCCGCGGCCGCACCTGGCTGAAAGGGAAGACGGCGTACTCGACGCGCCACAGGGGCAGGTCGTCGATGCGCGCGCCGCCCCGATCCGGCGACTCGCTGCTGCAGGCGGCCGCGGCAGCGGCCGTGTCGGACGCGTTAGGGGCGCCGTCGCCGTTGACAGCCCCAGGGGCCCCGCCGGCGCGCTCCTGGCCGGACTGGCCGGACTGCTGTGAGGGTGCGCCTGCCGCCTCAACGGCGCCCGTGCTGCCCGGCAGGCCTGCGTCAGGGCAGGGCAAAGCAGGGAATGACAGCCCGCGTGGGGGGCAAGGCACAGCTTGCTTATGAGTGGGTTGGGCCGGGGGGGGGGGCATGCGTTGCCACCCACCCACGTGTTGCCATCTGTATGCACGGCCAGCAGACATGGCGCGGGCCTCACTTTCCAGCCTGGCGTTCACGACACTGCATACCTTCTCGACGCGCACGCACGCGCACCCATCGCTCGCCCCGCTCGACACCACAGCACCGCCACCCAGGACGCCCCTTCACACACACTGCATTCCGGAAGGTGGAGCCCTTTGCTTCATTATCACCTTGCTGGTCGGTGCTGTAGAACATTCTCCGCAGCAGCCGCACCGCCTCGCGCCTCTCTGACTCTGCAGGATCGGGCGCACGAGACGCGCGGCACGCGACGACCGCACGGCGCGACGTTCCGACGGGCGCCGCTCGCGCATGACACCACCGCACGCCCCGCGCCGCATGGGCAGAGTCAATATGACCCATTGCCATGCGGCGTTGCGCCCACAATGGCGCTGATATTGAAAAGGCACTGGGTGAGCAGGTCGTGCACTACCGATCAATACGTGTGGCCCTATATGTGGAACAAAGACGTCGCGCGGCTAGAATTCATGTTTGCAAACGGTCAAATAGTGAAAAGCTTGCGACGCCCGTTTTGTTTTGCGGATCACCTTGCTGCGTAGGACAAGGCCTAGCGGGGAGGCTGAAGTGTCAAAAGGGAGAACATCATGGGTTCTACTGATAGGAGCCGTTCACCCAGGCGCAGGTGAGGTGCCCCCTGATCTGGGGGCTCCTGCAGAGCCATACGGCTCGTAATGGTTGATATGCAAGTTGGGATACGCAACCATAACTGCCGGAATCCCAGCACCTGGTCTTGTGATTGCGCGGAGCGTGCCGCTGCTGCAGGCGCCCGCACGGCTGGTGCGATCGCAGCAGCCGCCCCCGCTCATCCCACCTTGCAGGCCCAGAGGATCCGGGAGCCCCGACTCGCCGCCCAGGCAGCGCCGGCGCGTGGACTCGCCCGATGAGGAGCGCGGCAGGTGCATGCTTGCCGTGCGCGGGCGCGGTTGCTGCGCCTTTCGCTGCTCATGCCGCATGCAGCACACACTGCGCCTCATCTCGGTTGGGGCACGCGCTGCACTTTGTTTTGGGTGTTACTGTACTGTCGGCACCGGCGGTGCGCGCGGCCCGCACGAAAGCGCTTGCCAACCAACCAGCCATCATGCTTTCCCGCACGCTGTTGCCCCCGCAGGCGCAGCGGCAGCAAGAGCCCGGAGAGCCGGAGCGGCGGGAGCCGCAGCACGAGCAGTAGCAGCAGCGGCAGGAGCGGCAGTCGCAGCCGCAGCCCCAGCAAGGAGCCGCGCGGCGGCGGCGGCGACGGCGGCGGCGGCGGCGGCGGGGATGCACCCGCAGCGGCCGGCAACGGGGGCGCGCCGCCGGCCTCAGCGGGCCGTGGCGGCGAGCGCATTCGCTACCCC